TTCTTGTAGTTGGTTCGGTTCAAGGCCGATATTTACACCAGAAGCGAACCGCACCAGAGTTCATTTGGAAGCGGACCAAGACCACCTCAAAAATGGGTCTCAGTCGGGTTGCTTGATCTGCACCAGGGTTCATGAGTGTATTCACACCTGCATAAAAGGTCCGGACCAATGGGGGAAACAAACTCTGATCCATTTAAAGCGGACCAAATGTGTCAGGTGTGAATACGCTAWATATTCAGCATTTGTCTTCTTCACTCAGTGACATATCTCCTCCATTAAAACTATGTAAAACCATCAAACAAGACATTCTGTCATCTGACCGTTAGTTTTTACAGACACTGTTTGTCTGAGGCTTACGTTTTACTTTAAAAGTTGAAAATGGGTGATTTAAAAAAATGCATTAAAGAGCCTTCATGTCTTCTCTAATCTTTGATGTTCAGGAGAAAACAGGAAGAGCTTTAACCTGGAGTTTCACAATAAGAGTTTGGCTCCATCATGAATAAGATTTTTACAGAGGAAGTCCAGGTTTTCTGTTAAATTTTACAGAAAACTGTAGAAGGATATTTTAAAAAATAGGTTTTATTTATGTCTAATTATTGAGTTTTTGGACATATCAGAAAATAGAATAAATTCTAAAATTAAATCTAAATTCATCAGTTGTTGTGAATCAGTCTGCCGCTGCAGGTCAGATCCATCACCGATGACATAATAAAGCTCTTTATATTCATTAAAGGGTTGTGGAGCTAATCTGTGAGCTGCAGGTCTTGATGGCCCCGAGCTAAAACTGTAATTAAACTCCTGGAGGTCAAAGGTCATGGCTCAGAGGCTGCAGAGAGGAAACTGGGGCTCATGGGTGCAGGAAGAGATTTATTTACTGAAAACATCCAGTCTGTAAGAAAAAAAAACACTCAAAATTCTACTAATTTTATGTTTTAACATTTTAATTTTCTAGCTCAAAATAATTTTTTTCCCTTTTATTTGTAAAACATTTTCAGCTGTGCTGCAGCATGTCAATCTGACTTTCAGCAGCTGAAATCAGYGTTCAGAAAATGACTGTAAACAGATATTGTGTAATTAAATTTGATTGGTTGAGCAGCTGAATAATCTTGTTTTAGGAACATTAACCCAAATCTTTTGGACCAAACAGAACTAACCAAACTAAAGTTTTCTATTGACGATCTGAACATTTGGACGGTTTGGCACGCGGCTTTACTTCTGCTGATCTGTCCAGTTGTTGTGTTTGGATTTTAAAAATGGCCGACAAACCGAGAGGAAGAATAAAAGCAGCTGTGGGTGAAGAAGTACCAACAWGAGAGCTGGTGGCACACTTTCCACTTCCTGCTCTGAGCCCAAACTTACTTTATCACAGAGGAAAAAGCAGCACTGAGACAGAACTAGTCAATAGAATTTTCCGAATGGCGCTCTTCCATTTAAATTCACAGATTTGATGGTGATGCATACTTCGCGCCTGGAGGAAGCAGGGCTATTCATCACGCCGACGGAGGAAGTGGAGGCGGGGGGGCGGAGTGGGGGCCGTCCGCGGACTCGGCCACCTTGATTAATGTGATTTGATCTTGACAGTGGACCCCTAATTCATCAGGACCTTGATCTAGCTGTCGCTCCCCCCTGCCTGTGCCAAATTCACCTAATTACAGGAACATTGCGCAGCAAATTAAGTGCGCTGTCACTCGTGGCCTGGCGCRGCACTTTATTATCCAGCCGTGGCGGCGTGTCAGAGGTCCCCTCCTTGATTGTCTAACATGACATCCTGCTGCCGTCCTCTTCATCACTGTTTGCATAAACTGGAATGAGAGGAACGCTTCTTTTCTCAGACCTGTCAGGGGGGAAAAATAACAAGTGAGGGGGGAGTCAAATTTTCTTCTTCTGTGGTGTTTGATCACCTTTTTTTTCCCCCTTATCCTTTCTGCTGATGGGAAAACTCCTAGCATAAAGCCCCACAGATCTGGTCCATGGTTCTGGCTGGACATGACGGAGCTGTGTTTTAGTAGTTATAAACCCATTAACTTAACTTAGGGTTTTTAAATAAGAAGGTAAGCGTTCAGATAAAAGAGGAGGAGCCTCAGCAGACCAATCACAATCTGGAGTTGAACAGAAAGCCTGTAAGCTGTCATCAGTTTGTACTCAGTGTGTGTTGTGGAGGACTCTGGGCGGCTACGCTGATCCTGCTTTCAACAAACCAGCCAGTTTTTGTTGATGTCCCCACATCATCTTCATGTTCACCGGACTCTTCTTTACTTTACTGGATTTAAATCTCAGCTCATCAACATGGTTAATTAGCAACATTTATAAAGTTGTTGGTTCTTGTCTGGACCATCAAAACCTTCTGATCGTYCCATTTTAGCTCAAAGTAGACTCTGGAATTTTAGCCAATTGAAAAAATTAATTTATCCTACAAATGTGTCTGCATTTCTAAATATAAACAAACCACTCTAAACGCCACCTCCTTCTGTTTAAAGAATGAAGGAAACGTCAGAAAAATGACCCTGTTTAATAAAATCTAAACTTCAGGTTTAAATCTTTAGAGCAGGGGTGTCAAACTCATTTTCATCGAGGGCCACATGAGCGTTATGGTGGCCCTCGAAGGGCCAGTTGTAATGAACTTTGATGTTTCACAAGGTTTTAACACATCCTCTTTTAAACACTGATAAGAACTAAGTGTACGACTGACTAAATCTGTAATAAATACAGAAATATTATTAAAAGTAAAGCAAAAAAAAGTTTTACTCACTGATGAGTTTCTAGAGAGTAGCTGCATTATGGCAGATTTAGTTTATGTTTGATGGTGACTTTAAAGCAGCTTATTTTCAGACATTAGTACTGTGCTATCCAACTAAATTGCCCAGTTACTTCAAGCCAACAGCTCAGGGACAGGAATTTTTTTAATTTATTTTTATTAAATTAATTTTGTTGCATTTAACCATAAATTTAAAGTTTACCATTGATATAAGAAACAAATTTC